GCGTTGTTGCTGGATTTGATGCTGGAGGTGTTGCTCCTGCTGTCGGTGGCGCTAGCGCTGCTGCTGGAGTTGCTCCTGTCGCTGCAGCACCTGCTGTTGGAGTTGCAGCACCTGCTCCTGGACGTGCTGTTGCTGGTTGGCCTCGGCCAAAAATGAACAGCCTTCTGCGTGAACTGCATCGCTGGCCCGCATGATATGGAGGACCGTGTGACCGATCGCAGGCATGCCGTCCAGGTTACAGGGCACACGAATCACACCTCCTGGTTTCCCCAGTCCAGCGTCAAATGCCGTCGAGGCCGCATCAACGGAGAGATGAGCCAACGGTAACGTTCCCGAAGGCTGCGTAGCTTCCGCCGCTGCTCCGTGTTCCGCAGCCGCGGAGCTTCTGCCGCGTTCTCTTCTGCTGCTGCGGCTGCTGGCGGTGGTTGTTCCCGCTGACTCGTCCGACCACGCCGCTGGTTCCGCTGCTGTGCCTGCCGTGGCGCCGCCGCGGGGCCTCTGTGGCCCCTCGTCGCGAAAGCGGGAGGTGTCCTTTGCGCGCCCGACCGATGTTCGGCCCCTGTTGGTGAACACGCAAGTGGGACAGTGCACCCCTCCGCAGGTTTCCTCTGTGGCCCCCTTCCTCATTTTGGCGGAAATGCGTTTGCCCCGTTTTGTTACGCGCGGTTTGCTTGAGTGGTTCTCACTTGCTGTTACGTGAGTCGGGTTGTTGATTGTGTGATTGGTTTATTTGCTTGATATTTGTGTATGTGTGTTGTCTCACGTTGTGTGGTGTGTTGCTTAGAAGCTGCTTCCGTATTGGATTCCCGGATTGTTTGGTTGTGTGTCATTATTGCATTCCCCGGGTTGTTTGTGTTTGGTATTGTTTTGTTGCGGTTTTGGGGTTGTTTGTTTGTTCTTCGTTGCCAAGTGATGCCAAGCAATTCGGTTCCCAGCAACGTCAAGTAATGCCATGCAACGTCAAGCACTTCCAGCAACGCCAAGCAATGCCAGGCAACACCAAGCACCGCCAAGCATCGCAACGACATTCCCCATTTTCCCATCATCTTGCAGTGAGCAGGTCGATCCTTTTCGTTCCATTCGTTGGAGTGTTTTGTCGGGTCTCGACGGTGTGAGGAACGGTCGCAGTTTCTCTTATGAGTTTGCGGTTTTCGGGGTTATGTGTACCTCGCCAGCCCCCCCCTTTCCCCCTTTTGGTGGGTGCGCCTCGTAGGTGCGTTTCTCTGCAACGGATATCGCAACTAAGGGATTGCACAATAGCAAGACCGTGGCGCGCCCAGAGGTTTTCAGAAACAGGATGACACAGGTGGCCAGCCTGGGGTCTCCCTCTGGGTCCGCCCTGCTCTGCCAGTGGTGCCAAGCTGCCGAGTTGATGTCGAGTCATCGATGACGGACATCCCTAACGAATTCGAACATGCACATGTTGAGTGCTCACATGCACATTTTGATGTCGTTCGATGCCACGAAGCCAGATAACCAGTGGTAGAACCCTGTCAGCCAGGTCTGCTTAAACACACCGCTCGCCAGCATGCTAATCATTCGCGTGTATCGCCACGACGCGGCATTCCCTGCCCAAGCCCACGGTCCCTTTCATCCAGGGTGACTTTCCACACGAGCATCTTGGTGTATTGGTTCTTTCCCGTGTGGTGCTTGTGTAAAACCGCAGTCTCCAGCGCACCGCCATTGCGGTCGCGAATCCCGGTGAGCCAAGCGTCCGTTGGTTCTCCGCCCTTGGTGCAGGGATGTTTGAGAGCCTTCCGGTTTGGCAACACGTCTGTTGAGGCCGCAATTGTGGTCACGTCGGGGGTCACATACCCGTACAGGCCGTCGGTGGCTTCCGCCACCCCCACGATCACCGCCAGGTTCTTCTTCGGTTCGTTGGGCGCATCGGCGTTTTCCGGCGTCTTGCCCGGAATGCCAAACGGGAGAAACCGACGCTGAAGGCGACGGCGCCATTCACTCGTCGGGCTTGGGCTGTCTCTGTCAGCCAGTCCGCTGCGGTGGGGGGGCAGCACGAGGAGGAGCAGGGCGAGGGAGCGGGACGAGGGGAGCAGGATGACGGGGAGCAGAGCAGTGCGACTGGACCAGACGAGGACGGGCAGCTAGACGATTAGGTTGTGTGATTGGGATTCGGTGGAGCATCGCCATGCGTGGATCCGTGGGCAGTGCAAACTAGTAGCGGTCTCGGACATTTCGGATCTTGTTGCCGTCTGCTTCAGGGTTTGATTCGCATTGCAGTGGAAAGGTGAGCGTGGTATTGTTCTTCATTGATGTTGCATGCTCGTGGGTTGTTACCACAACTACCCTCTCATAGCAAGCATCTCTCGGCCATTCGTGTTTGCAGCAGACGAAGGAACGATCTTCGTGTCCTCATGAGGTGGTATTGTCTAGTCGGCTATATCAAAATCGATATGCAGCGGCCTGCGACAACCCCCGCCACCGTGCCAGCGCAGCAGTTTAGCAGGAAGGAGGTTGCGTTTGAGACCCGTTCCAGTGCAGT